GCGATCTGTCAGACAGTTCGTTTACGGCAGCTGTTGAAACCAGTTCACCTCAGTAGTGGCGTTGCGAAAAAAACAATGGAAAAAAATATTGAACAAAGAGTTTGCATCAAATTTTGTGTTTCGAACGAAATTTCGTGTGCAGAATCGTTGCGAATGCTACAAAAGGCTTATGGGGAATCAGTTTTATCGAAAACTCAAGTTTATGAGTGGTACAAAGCCTTTCAGGACGGTCGTACGACCGTCGAAGACATTTCGCAACGCACTACTGAGGTGAACTGGTTTCAACAGCTGCCGTAAACGAACTGGCTGACAGATCGCGCTCATTTTTGGCATAGTAATTAAGGACAGTGCTGCCAAACTACATAAACTTAAAATATCGAAAAATATACAGCGCGCGAATTTTAAATGAGAATTTCCGAAAACTTTTCAGTCTTAATGTATATACTATATAGTAACTACTATATTGTTGAAGATCATAAATGCTAAGATTTCAGACACTCAAGTTAAACTGCAGTATTTTTAGAGGGGAAGCTCTGTTGATAATGGAGACCACGTTCATACGTTGCGAGAGTGAGTCAGTTATTGATGGAATAATAGGTGGCTATAGCAATTGGATTGCAGAAGAATATTTTGAAACACTAATGATTATAAAACAATTTATCTTTACTAATGCGATTAAAAAAAAATTTATGACCATTAGAAATGGTGATATCAAAAATTACGGATCTATGTTGGCAGTAATTACAAAAAAAACTTAAATTTCAATTATGATGCGATATCTAGCCTGAGTAATGTATTCGGTATCTCTAGCCGTTACAATTATTGGAGAAAAAATTCTTATTAAAGACTATTAGTGCAAATACAGGCACAGACTTATTACATAGGTGGCCGTCGAAAGTGAATTGGAGATTTAACGATTAAAAAGAACAATCAGTGATAGACGATGATGGATGATTGATGATCTACTAAAGGCAGGACCACAGTCAGTATGACTGTACAAGCTATACCAGAATTGAATATGATACTAGTTATTGTAATTGTTACACTTAATAGAGTTTTGGTTTTTGTTGATAGGGAAACTATACATGAAATAGTGTTTACTATACTTTATAAATTTTCTTATTTTTGGACATCAAACAGAAATGCCATTGACAACCATTTTAGCCAGTTGAAAAGCCGTTAATGAACGTAATGTTTTGAAGATATTTCAAATGAAATAGAAAAAGGCTATGATAAATAGTTCCAATATGTCGATATATATGTGTATAGAACATTAAAAACAAAATTCTAAAAGTTAATACAGTCATTTTGAATGTCAAATTATTTATTATTTTAAAATTATTAGGGCAATTCGTACAGATTTCAAAATTAATTAAAAATATCTACTTGAGAAGTATTTGTTCTGGTTTGATTAGTCTAGATGTTGATTACAGAAAATAAATCAAATAATTTATTGATTTTATTATTTATTAGAGTCAAGTATGGCTTTGGGTCAGTTGATTAAAGAGCGCTGACTCTGAGCTTCAAATTTGGCAGGGCATGAGTTCGATTCCAGGTACTTGCAGTCTCAAAAAAATTTTTTACGAATAATTAAATACAAGAATTATTTCCAAGACCATTGATGATGGGTATTTGGCTGACCATACAGATGTATGGCTAGCCAAAAATATTATTAATTAAAATAATATTAAAAAAAAGAATTTTGTTGTTGTAGTTTATTACTTTTCGAAAAACCTCTTTAATTTAAAATCTCTTTAATTTTATTTTCAAGTTTTTGTTTGACATGAGTAATACTATATGCCATGGCGCGTACACTGACATGCTATATTACCCTTACTTTGTGTAACCAAAGTCGTCGGAATCTCTACCAGTAATATATTTTTAATTAATTATATTTTTGGGCTGAACATAGTATAAAGTTTTATAATAAAAGAACTTCTTAATTTATATGGCCCTGTTTGACTTTTTATTGAATTCATCTACAGGCTAAGTTTACTCCAGAACTAGAGTGATAAGAAACTCATCAGTTTTTTTCCAAGTTGCATTCAATGGAGTTTTCATATTCGATCTTAAACTGTTAGCTGCACTCAAAATAATTCATAAAAGTTGAAGATTTAAAATGAGAATGTTTATTTACAAAATATTTTATAGATTCATCAGAAAATAGTTAATTGGAAATTTTATGTTAAATTAATTAAAAATGAGTGTGCGTGGAAAAAGAGACCTTACGTGAAACCTTAGTACTTGCAATTAATTAAAAAAGATATTTTATCAAAAGGAATTTTATTATACTTTTTATAATATTATAGAATATTTTATATAAATTTCCTTATTTATGTTTACTACATTATTAATAATGAGTAATTTTTCTATTACAAAAAATAGATAAATAAAATTTTTCATTATAATATAAACTTATTTACAACAAACTTTTTTTGAACAATTTTCGAATTTAGTTGAATTTTAATTTCATATTTTAGTTCAAAATTTTACTCTCAGTTTGGAAACTTTATGATTATTTTGTTCTAATTAGTGATGTATTTCGAAAGTGAGTAATTTTTGTGATATGTTGCATGCCTTGAGGGAACTTGAACTAATTACATTATTTTATGCACTATAGCAAACCTTTTAATGATGAGTGGCTCTTCCTAGATGCTATCTTCATGCATGTAAAATATTAGCACCAATTAGCAATGTAAATTCACTATTTATAGTTAATAATTATATTGATTTAATATTATTAGTCGAAATCATAGTTACTGGTAAAAGCGAAGGTAATATTCGTTTTATTTACCACTTTTCATAATAATAATTTATTAAAAGTAAATTTACACAAAACTCTCTAATAGGAAAATTTGATGTATAAATATTGCTTGATGAAAGGAGCACATATTTATCTACTAAATGGTAGTTCCAAAATCAAATTACTTAAAAATATTAATTAAATATAATGTTTTACTGAGCTTTTACCATAAAATGATTCTTCCATGAACGTTCCATGAAATGTGATAAATATAATTTATCTACATGTGTTCCTTGCAAGACACTAAAATACCGAATAATTACTAATTATGAGAAGTGGAATAGTGTTTGCTGAGCAGTCACTGCAATCACCCAACCATCCATGCATTATGTTAACTACTTTATGATAACTACAATAACTTCGTACAACAGGGCTCCTTACTATATCGATGATTATTGCATATATATATGGTGTGGTAACTCTCAAAGTGACTATTTCGCTATAGACTAGTAAACACGATTAATTAAGTATTGAACTCTTTTCAATACCAAGTGGTGAATATAACTTACAATTTGGCAATATTAAAATTTCAAAGCTTAGGTTGGTTGATTAGCTGCGCGGTAATGCTTCATGAGTCCAATAGGCACTTTCAGACAAATCTGTAGTCACATACTCGTTACCAACTAATTGTCGAATCGTTTGTGTAAATAGAACGATAATCTTCAGTATCCATTGAGATAATAAGAAATAGTTTCCTTTTGAACTGGTCTGTTGCAGTTGTGACAAAAAATATTATTATCTGCTATCCAGTTGGAAAAACATCAGTAGAATTATTGCTTAGATTATAACCTGGTTATAGTTTCCTAAAAGATTTGGACTAAAAATTTGCAATAATGGGGTATAAATAGGAGTAGGAGTTTCGTGATCATGCCTCATCTCTTGTATTGTTAACTGACAGGAATAACAACATTCCACACAATAATTTTTTCCTGGCCAAGATCAAAGAAAGAAACTTACAAATAATATTGTCAGAGACCTCATTTGCGTCAAAGTAAAACACACTTCACCCTTCTTATAAAAATCAAAATACCCGCTTTTGAGAGCATCTTTACATTTATTGGGAAAATAACTCTCATCACAGTAATCTGTTCCTAGTCCAGATCAAAGGGAGAAAGTCGCGAAGAATATAATCAAAGATCTCATTCGCCTTCAAGCAGAGTAAACAGTTTATTTTCAGACAAATCTATGCTGTTAAGATGATAATACACTCATTATCATGCTAAGATAATGATCTGTTAGATAACCAAAAACCTTTGCTCTGTTCTACTAAGGAGGCATGCTCAACTGTATTTGTACGAAGAAACTTGATACTTAGCCTGGTGGTTATCTGGAATGTAGAGCCAGTGCCGGCAGCAATCGGTTACATTCTAATTTTGTTTTTGAAGATCTTCTTTTGAGCTAACTTACTCCACAGTAAACCTCGTGTTCACAAAATTATATGGTTGATTGAGTCGTTGTGAATCTGAGTCTAGTACCTTTTGATACTATCTCCTGATTGCCCGGAATCAAGTCTAAAATCTTCAACTAAATTGAATAATGTTCGAATTCTAAATCCAAGAGAATTTGTTAGGCTTGCTAATAGCTTTGATTTGTTTAGGATACTCTTTCTAGGATAAGCGCAGTAGATCTTTTAGGTCACAGTGTACTATTTGCCCTCTTTGTGGTAATAACAGTTCCTATTGATCCTTTACTTCGACGGAAAAAAATCGATATCAATTACATCAATGGCATCATAATATATAATGATTACTACTTTGCGGAGGTGGCAAAAGTATGTGTTAAGTATACCTTCATCTTGAGTAAATAATATTTAATAGATGTAATGAATTGGTGCAGGGAATGTATGTTCAAATATTTTTCAATATTTTTTCAAATATGATCTCTAACTATTTGCGTATAACTTAAATTACTATTCCATTTGAGATGTGTGTGGTAATCACAATCTGATTCTGTTTCGTAAGTCAATATTCAGAATAATTTTAATTGTTTAACATTAATTTTATAGATCAAAAGTTGTTGATGTAAGCTATTATTTTAACAAATGATTTTATTCTATAATATTACCTACAAGTAAAAAAAACTTAGTCTTCAGATATATTTTTATTGAATTTGGAAAAATCAATTCATTTTACATTATAATGTTGTCTTTATTAACATTTTAAATTGAAAATATGTTAAAACTTAAGATTATAGAGCTATATAGATCTAGATAAACACAAATTCTATTTAAATGTTATTAACGCATTATAATGCAGTTTCTTAAGTATTACAGATTTGATGAAGAAAGTTATCTGAACGAATATAATCAATATTGCATGTTACTTTTTGAGTGATGTATTGGTCTTTATTGCTATAACGGATTCCTCTCCGCAAGCCTTAAGTACAGTAACCATAAGATCTACTTCCTTCCCATAATCCAATTTTAATGCCTCTCCCAATTCGTTTTCTGGTACTTTCAAGTCTTCACGAATGTCCCCATTATCTGACATTAGTGTCATATAACCATCATCACTAATGTCAGCAAGTTGATAATCCTCCCTCTTCACGAGAGGTACACTCATGTTATGAGTAGATGGACAAATATCCTCATACCTATTAAAAATATTATGAATTTAGGTTATAGTTTCATAAAAACTAATTAAAGTATTTACATAGTAATAATAATTATATATTTGCTAGAATAAATCATCTCTTACTTTCTGTTAGTAAAGATATCTATCCCAACCAAATGAACTTTAGCATGACCATGTTTCCCAGACTTTGATGTGGTCATTTCAACTATTTTGCACGGCTTACTGCGTATCATAACATATCCGTTTTTACGCAAAGCTGAACATTGCAGTGGATAAGTTATCGATGCTCCGGAATCAGTCTTTTCAAAATGGTGATCTTCCATAGTATTTTCAAACATTGTTGATTGAAATCTAGTTTCTAAAAAAAAAAACAAAAATGATGTTAAAATTATGTTGACACAGAGGATTTGAAATGATAAAAATTTTTAAGCAGTATCTAATAATTATTTTTTTTTTACGATTGGTAGATGAAATACAGATAGTTGATATTTATTTTTACAATATTTTAAAGCTAGAAGTGAAAGCTTGCAACAAATCTATTATGTATAGGGTGATAATGGTAAGAAAGTATCTGTGATTATATATCTGATCAAACAAACAGGTGTCTGAAAGGTGACATTTCAGTCTACATTTCTTGTAAAGATAGTTAAATAATGTGTTGCTTAATATCTAAATAAATACGCTATGTAATACTTTATTTTATTACTTATTTCATTATTAGTATATATAATTATTATTTTCATATGATACTTATACGCACTCATTTTTACCACAAATATGAGTAATAAGTATTTACGTTTATGAGTGCCTTTGCTAATGATTGGAATAGAGTAGAAGCAGTAGTACAAATAAGTACTCATCATATTCACGAGTAGTATAAATCAATGACAATACTCTCATGAGGGTAATGATTGATAAGAGTAATAAACCTTTAATGAGGTTTGAATGTATACATTGTATTGTCTGGGTATTTTCCATATGGAAATTCTATTGATATGTCTTATCAATGTGAAATTAACATAAAAGTCAATCACAACTTCATTAAGGTAATGAAAATGAAAATTGATCATAATATTATCTTAAAAACTATACTATAGATATAATTAATTTAATTATGTTTAATTAATGATTGAAAATTGGCGAAATATGAAATATTGGAGAAAGTGGTGGAATAAATGAAAGGTTAATAAAGAAATTTTATTTAAAAAAGCCAATTTATTTGCTCTACTCGAAATTAAATTTGTTTAAATATTTATAATGGGCCTAAGGTTTATAAAATTATATATTCACAATTTTTTTATTTTAAAATATTACCTAAAAAAATTTGTGTTATTGAAATTTATATTTTAAAAAATTAATAAATATTTTCATTAATATTAATATATTATATATATAGATATATATATTATATATATATAATATATAATATATATATATATATATATATATATATAATATAAATTATATTTTCATTATATATAAATTGTAATATATTTACATAATAAATTAATTGTATTTTTAAAAAAGAAAATATATAAAAAATATTATATTTATATAATAAATCTTTTTTTATCGATCTCAATTGTTTATAGAATTTGGTATTATTTAATTATTTTTTATTATATTATTTTATTTATTATTATTTTATAAATATATTATATTTTATTTTATTTTAAAAATATTTTTTATATCTTTTAGATATTTTATAAAAAAAGATATTACTTAAATTTGTCAAATAAATATAATAATAATAATTTATTATTATATAATATATTCTATTTTAAAATATTCTATAAAAATTTATATTATATACACATATGTTTTTATTTATCATAATAAATAGTAATTATTAAAAACTTATTTTCCATAAAAAACTATTTTTGTGAAAATCAAATTTTTAATTATTTCAAATTATTTGCCACCCATTCGTACTTGTCGAACATATTTCGAATTAAAGTCGGACGTACTAATTGCCCGCTTTCACCGTTTCGAACATAACTTGCGTAAAAAACTTGGATAAAAAAAATGTTGAAATACCCATTTACTAGTATTAAAATATTCACATAATTCAGATATAAATTTTTATAGTAAACAAAAACATTTTTTTTTCTTTAAATAAATTTAACTTATGGTATCACAAATTAGTAATTTTTTGTAAATTTTCCTATTAGGTTTATTTCCCGCGTCTTTATTTTTATTGGGACAGGCTTGTCTGATATGCGCCGGTCATATTAAATATACTTCGCAATTTTGAGGTTATGTGACTTTTTATTTTTAATTTAATGTTAAAATACCTATTTATTAATATCCAAATAATTTAGATATAAATTTTTATAGTTAACATAAATATATAGTTTTGTTTTTGAAATATCACAAAATAGTAATTTTTTTTCAAATTTTCTTATTAGGTATATTTCCCGCGCTTTTATTTTTATTGCGACAGGTTGCGGCCGATATGCGCGGGCCTTTTAATTATATATCAAAATTTTGAGGTTATATAAATTTTTATTTTTGATTTGATTAAAACACGATAATTAGATAGGTCTTGAAATTAATAGAATGATGTTTAAAACACCGAAAAATTTACATATATATTTATAAACATTTGTTTGATTTATTTGATTCACATTTTAGGAAAAAAATTAATTAATTTCTATAACTTTTATTTTAAATTTAATAATCATATGAAAACATATGCGGCAAGTAAAATGATGATTAACTATATATTTATGTTTTATTTTATTTAAATTGTAATTTTCACATTTCACTAATTTTATAAAGGATTTTTAACAAATTTTCTTGACACAAGATAAAATTGCTTACACTATCGCAATAATGATACACAAAACGACCGTTTTCGAAGACTTATAAGCACGTACTGAGGCGGAAGAAAACTTGCACTTTCCTTATAAATCGAAGAAACGACGAATATTGAAACGATATTATATATCGGAATATGAGAAAGATAGCGGAATGACAATGTTGTCGACGTATAAATACAATATAAAAAAATAATAGGGTAATTTAATAGAACTGACTGTATTTAAATAGCATATAGAAAATGGATCTGCGAGATATATAAAAATACATAAGCGCAAAATTGTTAAAAATAAATTTTAGTAATAATTTTGATATATATAAGTATCTTTTTTAAATAAATTTAACTTTTTTAATTAAAAGTATATATTAATAATATATCTATTAACTTCAATACGAATTGAGTCTGTGGTGTATAGTTGTTATTACAATATTTGGAGAAATGGCAAAAGTATGATTTAAATTCTATTCACATAACACAAGTGTATGTAATTTAGCATCTTTGGCTTGTTTCGCGAAATACCTGTTCACATTGTAAAGCTCTTTTTAATCTTAATTTCGAGTCTCGAATTTGCGTTTTTAAATATTAACACCGAACATTGTAACAATACTTTATTTTGCTTTTATTATTCAATTACATATATGTATTGTAAATTACAAATTTAATTTCAACTTAATTTAATACAAATTATAATTTAATCGTAATTTTGGTTGTGGGATTTTTTATTCAATTAGATTATAGTTTTAACTATGTTTTCTAGCGAAGTGAGTTGAATGGACTAAACAAACGAAATTAAAATCAAAATTGCAATTACTTGTGCAATGCGATTAGGTTGTTATTGATCATTTATTTACAGTTTTTATCTTATAATTGATTATAAAGTTAATATATATATAATGTTTCATATATTTTTTTTTAAAAAATATTAATTACTTGTGATTAAAATTGTGGTTTTTTTAATCTTATCAAAAAAATTTAATTGATATATTTATATATTTTGGCAATACTTATATTAAAATTAACAATTAAAAATACTAGAGATTTGTGATAAATCTCTAGTGTTAAATGATTTAATTTATTAACTAAATAAAGATTTTTGTCAATTATTTATTTAGAATTCTATGTTTACTTTACGAACTTTAGTGAACGAACTTTATTAAAGTTGATTCCTAAACTTGAAACGTTTACATTATCGTTTCGGGTTTTTATTGTGACAGTTGTTTTTATTTGTTTATATTTTAATACTACTTTATATAAAATATATTGTTAAATATACTAGTATATTGTTTAAAATTATGGATATATATGATTGCATTGCTCTGCAGCGATTCTGCACCAGGAAAATTAAATACTTCATAGTAAATTACAATACATACGAAAAAAGCGCCATAAAATAATTGGAAAAATATTACAACTAATAGCGGCAAATAAATATAGAAGACCAAGAAGTGTATGGACTCAATATATATATATATATAATAAAAACTGAATAATTTCCACATATCTTACTTAAAATAAATTTACTCTTCTTTTGTAAACAAATGTCGATTCAAATGTAAACAAACAACGTTGGAAACAAAACGATATGTCATTTTGTCATTTTCGTACCAAAAACTTATCGATAACGCATTATAACCAGAATCAGGAAAAGGTATTAAATAAAGTCAACTTTCAGTCAAAGTTTGAAGTTAGTTGTGCCTATGGTATTTTTATATGTAAAGTCCATTTTGGTTGCTAATTTTGCGCTTAAAATCGATTTCCACCAGCTAAATTTCAATATTTCAATATTTGTAGGTTGAACTGCGAGAGTGAGATGAAAGTGATTATAAAAACGGTTTCTAATAAGAATGTTTTTAGTAAAGACTCGTTTTAAGTAAAATCAATTTTTAAAAAGAGGGCTTAAAAGACATTTTTTTAGAAACAGTTTTACATTTTTTTTCTTTCACAAATTTTTTTATTAAATTTAGTGAAGCTAAATAAAAAGACACATATTTAGGTAAATATTCTTTAAACATTTTTTTTAAGACATACGAATCAATGGGGTTTTGAGAATTGTTATTTATGAACTAAATAATCTGTCTACATTAATAAATAGCTTATGTACTATTCCACATGTCTCAACGATTGGTTAAATGGCCAAATAATATGCCGCAATTTAAATCATTTGCCTTGAAGAGCAAAGGTAGTAGAGGCCTTAGTTCAAAGGGCACTCCACACTAGTTAAGGGAAAATACGTTAAAGCTTCAAAACTGATTATTTCATTCCAATAGTACAAACAACATAGTTATTTAAAACTATTTTTACAACTACACAAGAATGGTTTTTTCTAGTAAAATAATTAAAATTATAGTTATCTATTGATATTTATTTTTTAAAGAAATAATTTTAATTTTAATTATTAATTAATATTTATAATGTATTTGTTTATTTATCGGGTTTTGGGTTGTTAACAAGAAGCAATTAAATATCTTGGAGTCATGATCGTTGTAAGATAGCATATAACAGTAGTAAGCTCTAAGGCGGCGGTGGTGAATCGTGCATTTACGCGAATCTTTCTGAACATAGGTGATACTCACGGTTAAAGAAGGCATCTTCTGTCAATAGTTACGGCTTATATTATATATTTTATGCCGATCTTATATGGATGGTACCAAAAACGCATCAGATACGACAGATAGCACAGATATATAAACGCGGTACGTTGAATGTTGCCAACGCTTATACAACAGTATTTCATGATGCAATCTGTGTCGTTACGGGAAAGCTGCCAGTCGAGTTACTTGCAAAAGAGCTAAGCCGCCCTTATGATAGGCAATGTACTTCACTTAGTGAAGAGTCGCAAAGATGGGAACAGACTTCAAAGGGACAATGGACCTAAGCAATCATTTTTAACATTAAAGAGTGGGTAACAAAAAAACATTGTGAAGCAGTCATCAATTTGATGCATATATTGAGCTGGCATGGATGCTTTTTAGAATATCTCCACCAATTTTAGCTGACAGAACCTAATGCACAATAACTCAAAATGTTGCTTAAATCAAAGAAAACGCTGTATCTTTCATTGTGGCCGTTTTAAAGAGAAACGAGAACTTCTCGATAAGGTTTTAGGACATCTACCATGTCCTAACAGGATTATACATAAAATGTGATCAAGTAATTTCAAATGGAATGCTGTCGTCTTAGATATTTCGAACTTGAGCGTTCCCAATAAGAACAGCTGTAGTAACCCAACAGCATTAATGATATATGAAAACATATAAACGGGAAAATGTTGTATATATAACTTAATGATGATAAAAAACAGACATTTGAGCTTTGTGCTCTGGGCGGTCTGTTGACGTAATACCAAATCGGTAGTCCCGAGAGGACTAATCATTAGAAAACGTGGTGATTTTAATGGACTGGAGCTTCACACAATCGATTTAACCGCTCGATTGCTTTACATAATATTTTTTATACATAAATATTTATATTTATATATGTATATTTGGATGTATGTATGTATACATGTATGTATGCAATTAAGTATGTGTTTATGTATGTATGCTTGTATATTTTTTTGTAAGGAGGTTTTAAAGCAACGATAGCTGAAAACGGTGAATAACTTTAAAATTTTATAAATCTCTTCTCGTTCGAACAGATAGATTTACACGGCACCACAGTTGATTATTTCAACGGAAGAGAGTATGTTATGAAGTATTTTTGCTAAATTGTCTGTTCGTGGGTCAAGTTCATTACTTCTAAGTTGTTGAGTCTACAATCGTATTGCTTCAGCAATCTGGAACTTAGTGATTATACGAGTAAGCACTGCAGTAGTTCTTACCTCTTTCCATTTTCTAGGCACTTCGCACACAGTAGGTGCGTACTAGGTGCGATACAGTTGGAACTTCCACTTCTCCTGCTTATCTCAAATGTTTGATGTTTCATCTGTATGTAGTATGTGTGTGTGTTTGCATAGATGTGAGGTTTGTGTGTTTGTGTGTATTTAATATTTGTTGTGTTACATAAAAGGTGCAATTTAAAAATAAATTTAATCAGCAATTTCGCTGCGTTTACATTATTCATAATTATTAATAAAATTATTTCATAGCCTTAATTTATGCAGTCAAGCGCGAAAAGACATGATTTAATTTTGAACTTATTTTACAAAAAAAAAAAAAAATAAATATTAATAAGGATATATTTTGATATGTATGTGTTTATCCTGGTTTGGTACACGTGCGTGTGCTTTAGTAGGATAAATTGGTGCTTTAAAATTAATGTGCATTATGCATGCGTACGCGTAAGTGGCAAATTCAACATTTCAATTACAAAATACTTAAAATCTGTTCAACGCAAAATGTTGCATAATATATGTATATGCATAAACATACAAAATATTATACAAAAAAAATTTTAATATGTTAAATATATATGAAATAACAAACCATCGTCAAAAAAAAAAGTGCTGTAAAAGTAACCCACAAGTGCATTTTACATTGATTTTGTAAAGATATTATGTGTGTGTATGTATATGGATAAGTATGGAGAAATTGGACGTATGTATGCGTTTCGTAGAAATTCAATAATTCATTGCAATTGTAACTTCATCCTTGATAAGGACTCGCATTTTGCAATTAACGTCAAGTTGTTCATGAAGCTGATTTTCCTACTGCTGAGCTCATGCAACTCGCTGGTGTGAGCTGGCATGAGCTGGTGTGAGTTGGTGTGAGCTGGTGTGAGCTGGTATGAGCTGTCATGCCAGCGAGTTAAGACTGTTGCTGCTGCAATTGTCGCTACTGCCTGCCGTTGTTCTGGTGTTCTGGTGTTTCTCTGAAGCTGTTGCTGATCCTGATACAGAAGTGTTTTGTAATTAATTGCAATACGCGAATGCAATTTTAATATTTTTAAATTTACTCAAGCGTTAATGTTGCATAAGTTTCACCTTAACAGTTGCAGTTGCAGTTGCAACGGCGGCAACCACACTTACATGCATTTTTTAATGTGTTTATATACATTTTATATATATATATATATATGTATGTATATAAAAGAGTATTTAAAATGTATGTATACTTGCTTTTAACTACAGTAGCGGTTAAGTCATGCATTTCATCGTTACGGCAGAAATTTGACCCAAGGATATTTCTTTTGGTTTATGCAAGCAGTAATTTCGTTTGTGTTACTTTGCAGTTATGATTTTAAAGTAAAATACAAAATACAAAATACAAAATACGAAATGGAAAAGTAATTACAAAAGTATTAAAATATCAAAAAATATATATATGTGTGTGTGTATATGTAGACTTGAATATATTAA